TAGCCAAGGTGGTTGTCTGGAACAGGATTTCTACTACGACTGTGGCATGTACTCACACTTGCAGGGAAACCTGACTATTTGCGACTGCTGCGAATCATTTCTTTTAACAAAGCCAGTATCATGCAAACATTTGATAAAATCACACAGCTGTCCAGCATTGGCAGTGGCTTCTTGCCAAAGACCTGAGGGCTATTGGTCTGACTGTGGCACACAGTCAGCCCATTCTGATTATGCAGATGAAGAAGATTCCTTTGTCTCAGACAGTTCTGACCAGGTGCAGGCCTGTGGACGAGCCTGCTTCTACCAGAGTCGAGGATTCCCTTTGGTGCGCTATGCTTACAATCTACCAAGAGTTAAAGACTGAACTCCTGTGTATGTAACTGTTTCCCCTATCAACCAAAATCAGTGTTTATAGAGTGAACCCTATTTTAATCTTTCATCTGGGAAGCACTTCTGTAATCACTGCCTGGTGTCACTTAGAAGAAGGAGAAGGTGGCAGCTTATTTCTCAAATCAGTCATTGTCAAAGAACAGGTGCCTAAATTATAAATTGGTGAAAAATGCAATGTCCAAGCAATGTATGGTCTGTTTGAAACAAATGTATGACTTGAAAAGGATCGGAGGTGTAGTATAGCAATATAATGTTAGGATTTTCTGATCCATGAAAAGCAAATTTATACCTATTTCTGAATTAAGCACAAGATAAGGAACAGCTGTTAATATTTTTTAAAAAATATATTTTAAAATGTGATTTTCTATAACTGAAGAAAAAATCTTGCTAATTTAACCTAATGTTTCATCATTAATCTCAGGACAACTTACTGCAGGGCCAAAAAAGGGACTGTCCCAGCTAGAACTGTGAGAGTATACATAGGGATTACCTTATTATGTTTTCAGTTGCCATCCTTGACATAAGAGAATCATAAATTTTGCTTAGGTGACTTATAAATCTAAAACCTGAAGATGTTTTTAAAACAATATTAACAGCTGTTAGGTTAAAAAAAGTAGCTGGACATTTGTTTTCAGTCATTATACATTGCTTTGGTTCAATCAGTAATTTTTTTCTTCAGTGTTTTGTGATTATACTACTAGAAAAAAAGTAAAAGGCTAATTGCTGTGTGAGTTTAATAGATTTGGCTAAACTACTAACTAATGTGGGGGTTTAATAGTATCTAAGGGATTTGGTGGCTCCATGTAATGTTTTCATTAATAAACACTTCCTAATATCACTGGCTCTACTGATATTTTCCAATTTGTTGGTTTGTCACCTAGTAATAGTTTGAATTATATAGAAAGTAAACTGTGGTCAATACTTGCATTTAATTGGAAGAAATGGGGAGTAATTATGACACAAAGTACTTATGTTTATTTCTTAGTGAGCTGGATTCTCTTGAACCTATGCCATTAAATGGAAACTTCCATATATCTTCCCTGTACTATTTTTTTTTTTTTTTTTTACAAAAAGCCTATTCAATAGTTCAGAGGTTAAACTCTGGTTAAACAAGATAATATGTTATTAATAAAAATATAAGAAGAAGGAATTAAAGCTTCGTCCTGTGTCTTTAAAAATTAAAAATTTTACTTGATTCTCATGGATGGGCTTTAGACCTATTACTGTGTGGAGTCTTAAGGTTATAATTGTTCAAAATGTTTTTTGAACAATGTGCTAAATCAATAGCAAACCCACTGCCATATTAGTTATTCTGAATATACTAAAAAAAATTCAGCTAGATTGCAGTTTAATAATTAAACTGTATATACTGTGCATATAATGAATTTTTATCTTATGTAAATTATTTTTAGAACACAAGTTGGGAACTGTGGCTTCTGTTCACTTTGTTTAATTAAAGCTACCTCCTAAACTATAGTGGCTGCCAGTAGCAGAATGTTAAATTGTGGTTTATATACTTTTTGCATTGTAAATAGTCTTTGTTGTACACTGTCAGTGTAATAAAAACAGAATCTTTGTATATCAAAATCATGTAGTTTGTATAAAATGTGGGAAGGATTTATTTACAGTGTGTTGTAATTTTGTAAGGCCAAACTACGAGTTTTAAAAATTGCTATCATATTTGTATATTTACACATCTGATAAATATTAAATCATAACTTGGTAAGAAACTCCTAATTAAAAGGTTTTTTCCAAAATTCAAATTATTGAAAATTTTTCATTTTAAAACTAGAATAACAGAGATATAAAATGTGTTAATCTTTGTGCTATACATGGTATGAAATACAATATTGTACTCAGTGTTTTGAAATATTAAAGTTTCTAGAAAGCAATCTATTTTGCCTTAATTTAAAACTAGGTATATAAATGAATTTAGTTTTAAAGTAAGCAAATTAAATTTTTTTTTTTTTTTTTTTTTTTTTTGAGAGGGAGTTTCGCTCTTGTTGCCCAGGCTGGAGTGCAATGGCGCGATCTCGGCTCACCGCAACCTCTGCCTCCTGAGTTCAGGCAATTCTCCTGCCTCAGCCTCCTGAGTAGCTGGGATTACAGGCACGCAGCTAATTTTTTTATATTTTTAGTAGAGACGGGGTTTCACCATGTTGACCAGGATGGTCTCGATCTCTCGACCTCGTGATCCGCCTGCCTCGGCCTCCCAAAGTGCTGGGATTACAGGCTTAAGCCACCGCGCCCGGCGCAAATTAAATATTTTTAAGTGGACAGTCTATTAGAAGAAATGTTGAAAGTAACCATTAGAAAACACTATTTTGATATTTGTTCATAAATACATAAGAACATTTTGCTGAAATTTATAAATAAGGTCTTATCCTGAGTCTGAACCATACTCGTGGAAAACAGATTATGTATTTTCAGAAAAACCATTGATTCAATCTTTATCTAAAAAGCAAATGATTAAAAAATCTGGATTATATTAAATGTAGGTAATGGCCCAGATGCTTAGAAATACTTCAGTGTGTACAATCATTAGTCCTCATTTTACAGATGAAAAACAAAAGGTTTAATGAAATTTAAGTGAATTCCTGAGTCACAGCAAATTAAAACTCAAACCAGAACCCAATGCCTCTTCATTCTAGACATAATTTTGTGTGTGTGTTTGTATTAAACTTTACATATGCTTGAAATTTCCATAACAGCCGGGCGCGGTGGCTCAAGCCTGTAATCCCAGCACTTTGGGAGGCCGAGGCGGGTGGATCACGAGGTCGAGAGATCAAGACCATCCTGGTCAACATGGTGAAACCCCGTCTCTACTAAAAATACAAAAAATTAGCTGGGCATGGTGGCGCTTGCCTGTAATCCCAGCTACTCAGGAGGCTGAGGCAGGAGAATTGCTTGAACCCAGGAGGCGGAGGTTGCAGTGAGCCGAGATCGCGCCATTGCACTCCAGCCTGGGTAACAAGAGCAAAACTCCGTCTCAAAAAAAAAAAGAAATTTCCGTAACAAAAGTAGAATAGTATAATTATCCCACATCCCTACCCTTCATCCCATACCTATCACTGCTTTGACAATTACTGTATCTGCAGCATGTAGTGAACCTTGTTTTATCTTTGTTGCATTCACTAACCCCTTCTAATCCCTCCACCCCTTGGATTATTTTGAAGCATATTCAAGACATCATATTGTTTCATCTGTAAATACTAATATCTAGGGATAAATTTTTAAAGTTGCATAATGTATTGCCATAGGGCTAACTGGTGATGGAATTGTTTAAGCAAAAATCACTCTTATGCAAGTTTCCAGAGCCAGTGAAACGTAATTATCTCAAATATTCCATGAAAGTCAAAATACTAACTGTATGAAAATATGTCCTTCAGTCAATGTCCTAAAACTTTAGGGGAGAGACACTCTCTTATACATTTGTACATTTAATATAATTCTACCCATCTTGATTATGACTCCTCAGCTCCAGTAATGAAAAGGCACTGTAAGAAATGAGACCGCTGGACTCAATTATGTTCAAACACCAGCACCAGCACCATCTGATTCTGCCTCATAGCCTCAATGCTCGGGGGGTCCAGCATTGCTAGTGCATAATGTCACAGTTGGTCATAATGATGACCCTGGCACATCAAGAAAAGGGTATACTTTGTTTAGGAAAACATTTTAAGGGGACAAAGAAGTATATGACATTTAGATTCCCATATGAAGAGGTTAAAGTGGAAAAGTTCTGGAGTTTACACACAATTTTTCATCGTATCTGTCAGATCCTGAGCTTAGAAACTTTGAGAATTAATGAGATAATATGACCCTGTGAGGTAATTTCCCGCCACCATTTTCAGAGGAGTAAGTTAGGATTGGAAAACCTATCAAGCACCAGGAAAACCACTGATTCCAGGTCCCTTTCATACTAGTGTTTTCCCACTACAGTTATGTCTGGTTATATATATGGGAAAATAGCTTCTCAAGCATACCTCTTTATGAGGCCCTAACGCAGACCAGGGCCTTTCAATGTTACTGATTCTAGAGATGTTCCAATAAAAGGTTTTAAATAGATATACCAATATTGAATAACTAGGGTTGAGAACGAACCTTGGTCAACTTTATTACTCAGTTGGAGTGCTCCAATTTTCTTTCATTTTCATTTTGTTTTTACCGAAATTTTAAACCAAATATTCCATTTAAATAGATTTAACCATGTCATATTTTATTAATTATAGCTCTGCCTTCTGAATTGTCTTTGGTTGCTATTACTTCTACCAGAGCTGGTTCTCCTGTGTTAAATTTTGCAGATCTAGAGTGCGTGCATCAAAGGTTTTTGTATCACTGTAGTTACTAAAAAATTTTGTGTGCTATGTTAGCCATGGTTAATTTTCATTTACGCTATTTCTACCAGTAATATACATTATGAACTGGACAAAAGCCCTATTTATTTACAAATATACAGAGTTTTGTCAGCCTGAATAAAGCATCCACCTCTCCCTTACTACCTTTATCTGCATTCCAAAGAGAGTGCCCCTAAGATCCCACATAAAATGCGTATCACCATATTTCCTCAGATGATTTTTCACCACAGAAGGATGAGGAACTTACGGACAAGACTTTATTCATCTATCCCTAGTGCTTTACGCAGACCTTAGCATACACTAGAGGCTTCAAAGAGGCCAAAAATTCACATGTAGAGACAAATTAGGTCCCTTAAGATGCCAGGCAAACGAAGTGCTACCAAAACACTCAAAGACTGCCCTAAAAGTGCGTTCTGGGGTACACCGGTAAACTTGGATCAGGTTCGCTCCCCTCTCCTCAAAATACATCGGCTGTGCTGAAAGAAATCATGACAGATGCTCATAATTCTGACCCTGTAATTATATAGGGTGTAGTTTTGGCTTCTGCTTCTTTTTTCCCTTATTCAGTGACAACGTATTTTATGTAGCCAGTGAACTACAGCACCTCGGCAAACAAGGGACAGGCGCTCAAAGTTGTCCGTAGGGAGCCAGGACCCCGCCCGCGGCGTGGGGAGGCACAGCGCTAAACGAGCTTGCAAACAACAGGCACCTTCCTGCCACCGCGGAGGGAGGCCAGGGCGGAGGAAGCCACGCTCTGCAGGCCGGAACAAAGCCCTCCCGGCCTCCACGCGTCGCCATGGCAGCGGAGGGTCTGCGGCGGCCGGGATTGGCCGGGCCGGCGCGCGCAGGGCCTGCTGGGAGAGCGCGTGCCCGCCGCGGCTCCGCCGGTTTGAACTTGGCGGGCCAGATGCGGGCGGCTGGGAGCTGGGGGCCTGCTTCTCCCCCTTCCTACACGGGTTTCTCTGCTGACTGCAGACCCAGGTCTCGGCCCTCCTCGGGCTCCTTCGCCGTCCCCATGACAGGCACCCGTGGGCAGGGGCTGGAGGTGGTGCGCTCGCCATCGCTGCCGCCGAGCTGCAGCAATTCCACCAGGTCGCTGTTGTCTCCCCTTGGCCACCAGAGCTTCCAATTTGACGAGGACGACGGTGACGGGGAGAATGAGGAAGACGTGAATGAAGATGCCCTTGATTCAGAGGCCAACGTGGCGGGCCTGAGAGGAATGGAGTTACAGGGGTGCGCCAGGTAAACCCGAGGCCTCCCGGCCTATTCAGTCCTTTTCAAGATTCCTTAGACCCTCTTAAGCACCCCCTTCTGACACCCTCCTGCCCTCCCCCCAAAGGCAGAGCAGGCACCTGCAAACTGAGGTGCCGTGGTTTTTTTTGCACGTAAAGAGCCCTGGGCAAATTCCTGCAAATGAGGACAGACTTCCTGTGGCTCTTAATCTTTTTTTCCTAAGATATGATTGCTGCAGTCTCACTTCCCAGGAAAACGCACATAGTCTCAAACACACAAAACTTTGCTACTATTTCAGGAGTTTTATGAATCCTCAAAAGCCAGATTGTGGACACCAGAATTCTTTTCCCAAATCTGAACATCAGAATGTGGTTTACTGCACCTTAGTAGTACCTGTGGTTATTCTGAAAACATCCACTGATTGTTAGTGAAGTAGGTTATAGTAAACAGGTGACTTTTTATAACATAAAGTGCTGAGGCACAGAGGTTAGCAATATTAACCTCAGCATGTGGAGACATGGTTGGATAGGATCTGAGCACGCACTTACAGAGGAATGGATGCTATTGTGTCGAAGAATGTTAGGACCAAGGGGGTTATTAAAACTATCTTAATTTGTTTATGTCTACTGTTATTCACGCAGCAAACATTGTGTGCCACATATTAGTTTAGGTACTGGGGACCATAAACTAGATACTGGTCTCTATTCTCATGGAATTGAAGCCTAAATCAATCCACTTATTTTACAGATAGTAAAACCATGGCTCAGAATACAAATAAAAAGTGACTCAAAGGCATGCACCTAGTTATTAGCAGACCTGGGCCTGCTACAGAGATACATGGTCATGTTTTCTTTCCTAAACTGCATGCCTAGTATTGGAATATAGAAATAGGAGCAAAGGGCCTATCCCTGCAGGAACATTTCTGAGGCAGGCCTAGTAATGCAGGTCCATTCTGGTATACACTCATTACATTTTCTTCAGAAATCGTTTACAAGTTTCTGATTGTCAAGCTGTGCAAGGCACAGTACAGGAACTCTAAGAAACACAGGCAGAAGAACCCAGGCTTTGTGTGTAAATAGCAAGATACCTCATTCAGTATATAGGGTGTTCATATCCAGCATGAGTGAATGGAATCTGGAACCATGTGAATTAACTCATATACATGGTTACAGGAGTGAATTAGTTAAGGATGAGAGGTAAAAGTAAGTACATTGGTGGGAATAGAGATCAGAAAGAGTAACCAAGCAAGCCACTCAATTCAAGCTGGTTGTAGCAAGAAGAAACAGGCCTATTCTGATCAACCTGATAATAGAATTTTTGCCAGGCTGGAGTACAATGGCGCAATCTCGGCTCACTGCAACCTCCGCCTCCTGGGTTCAAGCAATTCTCCTGCCTCAGCCTCCCTAGTAGCTGGGACTACAGACGTGCGCCACCATGCCCAGCTAATTTTCATATTTTAGTAGAGACGGGGTTTCACCATGTTGACCAGGATGGTCTCGATCTCTTGACCTCGTGATCCACCCGCCTCAGCCTCCCAAAGTGCTGGGATTACAGGCATGAGCCACCGTGCCCAGCCCCGATAGTTGAATTTAATGGCGGAGTTAGGGTTTCAGTAATCTGTTTCCATTTGGGCCTTTGTAGGTATTTTCAGGACTGAGTTGGTCTCAAAGGTATTTAAGGTAAATGTGAAGGCTTTGGGAAATATTTTCTGAGCATGATCAATTGGACTAAGTATTCTGGACACAAGTTAGTGACCTGCGGAATAAATGACCCTCAGAACTATACCTCAGCTATTGAAACCCTGTATTAGTTTCCAAGAGCCAAAACCCTGACTAAATGGAGCCTGCCAGGGGAGGAGGCAGACATATCTACGTCTCACTTATCCAAAGCCAGAATGAGCTGGTTGCACCACAGGGCTAAGGCGGCCTTCCTTATTACATTTCAGTCCCTATGAATCAAAAGTAGCTGGGACATGGGTTTGAAAAGAGAATGCTGAAGTTGTCAAGTGTGTGTGGCAAGTATCAGATGCTTATTAGTTGCTCGGTAAATGTGTGCTGACCGCATACCTAGTTCCCACTTCCTAAAGAACAGATACATGCAGTGATTATTGCCTAATGCATCATAAACTTAGCACTTCCTTTCAGGAAAGGTAGGTTTTTAGAAAACTTCCTTATTCCTTTTCCCTACTATGCTGACCTATATTTGGTGCCCTGGACAGCTTGGGGGTGACAGGATGAAGAGAGCAGGCAGCCTGATTCATAGCCCCATCATTGTTCTGGGCTACAAGTATCCTCTGCGGAGCAGAGAGCAACCTACAGCTATGGGATTTTATGCCTTTTCTCCATCTCTCACCTGCCACAGTGATCTGACTGGCAAAACGAATAGGGTAAGGCTTCTATGAGCTAGACTCAGGCATCAAGTGAACATGATGAATATTACCTCAAGGTATTTTTGGTATAAATAGAGCCATTCAGCGGGCGTGGTGGCTCACACCTGTAATCCCAGCACTTTGGGAGGCCAAGGCAGGTGGATCATGAGGTCGAGATCGAGATCATCCTGGCCAACGTAAAAATACAAAAATTAGCTAGGTGTGTTGGCACACACCTCTAGTCCCAACTACTCGGGAGGGTGAGGCACAAGAATCGCTTGAACCTGGGAGGTGAAGGTTGCAGTGAGCCGAGCTTGTGCCACTGCATTCCAGCCTGGAGACAGAGCAAGACTGCGTCTCAAAAAAAAAAAAAAAAGAAAAAAGAAAAAAAAAGAAAAGAAAAAACTACAGCCATGCTTAGAGGATGCATTGACCTTCAAGTGTATTGGCCAGAATTGAGATGAAGCTCAAAGTAAGCTTCAGACAAGATCATGAGAAGTGTTTTCCTGGAATATTTTATAATGTGCTCTGGGCCTACTGTTTATCTATTCAACTATATCCTGGTTTTTCTACCATTATCTGTTAGGAAAACCATGCTGTAATAAATATCCTGTTCACAAATGGCTGCTTGTCAAGCAAGCCTTTCGTGATTATAAGTAGAGCTGTAGTATGTACGCCATGTATTTTGAACACATTGGGTATATAAATATTGAGGCAGGAAATTTAATATTTAAAGTGTCATTTCTTAAAAGAAAAACCCACTGATCCGATTTTCTTTCAACAAATATTTCTTAGGACCTTACTATATTCTAGGCCCTAAGCTAGGCTCTTGAAAGAAAAAAAATGAGTTAAGGTGTTTTCTTTAAGGAACTCGTGGCCTGTGGCAGAGATGAACAAGTGACAGGAAACCCAAGAGTTTTACAGGCAGTGCTAGAGTTGAATTTTGAAGAGACAGTAGGAGTTCATCATAGTAAAAATAATAAATGACTTATTAAGTGCTTACTGAGTGACTGGAACTGTATTAGGTGCTTTAGCATGGATAGTTTCATGAAATACTGCCTGTAAGGTAGCCAGCCACAACTGTCATCTCCATTTTATAGATGGAAAAAACAGAAGCTTTAAGAAGTTAAAAAAAAAAATGTACACAGCTAGGAAGAGGCAGATAGGATTTCACCCCAGGCTGTTTACTACCAAATCTAAGCTCTTAATCTAACTGTATTCAGAGGTGGAAGAAGGGAATTTCAGATTTAGGTGAAAGTTACAGGGCATGGGGCGTGGCACATTTCATCAACCTACAGGAGTTCCTAGTGACTGAAATGTAAAATGTGGTTCACTTATTGGTGAAAGAAGAGGCTGGAAGATAGGCAAGGACCGATTCATGGGTGTCAGGCTAAGGAGTTTGGATTTTATCCTGTGGGTAAAGGAGCCACTCAAGAACTTTAAGATGAGGAGTGACATGATCAAAGGATACATTTTTGGGTTGAATCTGGCAAGAGGTGTGGGTAATGATTTGAAACGGAGGCCAGTTTTGTCCAAATGGTGGTTGTAAGATTTGAGGAAACAAGAATGGCTTTCAAAAATGGAAAGAATAGAATTAAGATGACTAGGTGATCATGTGGGTATGGGAGGTGGAGAGGTCCAGATGTTGATGAGAAGCCGGTGGAATCAAAGAGCTAGGGCTTCTGGCTTGAGCAACTGACTGAAAGGTGATATCCTCCAGCCTGCGCTCACTGCTTTAGGATTGTAAGAGGAGTATACTTTCTTAGTGTGAAGGGTGGTGGGTGGGTGGTAGAAGATGATTAGGTTTGTTTTCAACTGATTGATATTTAAGTTGAGCTATGAATCACAGAGTTGGAAATAAAGATCTGGAAGTCAAGATGAAGGTCTGCCCTGGAATTACTAATCTAGGCATCATCAGCATGTAGTGATAGTTGAAAGTACATTTCAGTGGAGGCAGATGGGTTCCTTCTGCAAGACTGAAAAAGAAAGACATATATAACAACACGCTGGGTGCAGTGGCTCATGCCTGTAATCCCAGCACTTTGGGAGACCAAGGTTGGCAGATCATGAGGTCAGGAGATTGAGACCATCCTGGCCAACATGGTGAAACCCTGTCTCTACTAAAATACAAAAAATTAGCCGGGCACAGTGGTGTGTGCCTATAATCCCCGCTACTTGGGAGGCTGAGGCATGGGAATCGCTTGAACCCAGGAGGCAGAGGTTGCAATGAACTAAGATCATGCCACTGCACTCCAGCCTGGCAACAGAGTGAGACTCTGTCTTAAAAAATAAAATAAAATAAGAAATAACACATCAACTGTCTCTTTGCCACTACAATACAAATTCCATAAAGGCATGAATGAATGAAGAAATAATAGTAACAGAAAATAATGAGTAAGCTGAATCTTGAAGTAGAAAAGTTGTGCAAAGCAGTGGATGAAGCAATTGGTTGCTAGAAGCAGGAATGTGAAAGAGATGAAGAACTAAGTCTATAATAAATGAGTCTTATTTGTTTTTATTATATTTAAGTTCTGGGGTACATGTGCAGAATGTGCAGGTTTGTTACATAGTTATACATGTGCCATGGTGGTTTGCTGCACCCATCAAACTGTCACCTACATTAGGTATTTCGTCTAATGCT